TGATGATGATGATGATGCTGCTGATGATGATGCTGATGATTATTGTGATGGTGATGGTGATGGTAATGGTGATGGTGATGGTGGTGATGATGGTGGTGAGGATGATGATGATTACGATGACGATGACGATGACGACGACGATGACGATGACGATGACGACGATGATGACGATGATGACGATGATGATGATGACGATGATGATGATGATGATGATGATGATGATGATGATGATGATGATGATGATGATGATGATGATGATGATGATGATGCTGATGATGATGACGATGATGATGCTGCTGATGCTGATGCTGATGCTGATGCTGATGCCGATGCTGATGAATGATGATGATGATGATGATGATGATGATGATGAGATGCTGATGCTGATGCTGCTGCTGATGATGATGATGATGATGATGATGATGATGATGATGATGGTGGTGATGGTGATGCTGCTGATGATTCGGCTATTGATGATGATTCTGATGATGGTGATGGTGATGGTGATGGTGATCGGATGACTGGGGACGGATGACGGCGAACGGGGGACGAAGGATAGGATGAGGACGGATCAGGTCGGAGGAGAAGCACGATGGCGGAGGAGAACGGAGGAGTTTGACGGAGGACCGAGGACGGAGGAGGAGGAGGAGGAGGAGGAGGAGGAGGAGGAGGGGGATGAGGAGGAGGAGGACGAGGAGGAGGAGGAGGAGGAGGAGGAGGAGGAGGAGGAGGAGAGGAGGAGGAGGAGGAGGAGGAGGAGGAGGAGGAGGAGGAGGAGGAGGGGGAAGAGGATGAGGAGGTGGGGAGGGAGGACACGCAAATGCGGAGGAAGGAGGAGGAGGAGGGACAGGATCGATCGCGGGATGGTGAGGAGGCAGAAAAGGAATGTGTGGAGGAAGGCGACGACTGGGAGGGGGCGGCAGCGTAGGAGGATCCGCGCGTGTATTGAAGAGTTCCGCACTGCCTTCTGCATTGCTGCTGCCAGCTTCAGCTGAGCTCGTCGGCATCGGGATTCTACCTCTTGGCGGAGGAGGCGGGAGAAAGGCTGAACGCTGCCCCACTAGGCTAGTTCGCCTCAGCCACCTGCGAAACTATCAAACGACGGCGCAATCCAGCACGACAGCGGGGAGGGGGGAGGACAAGCATGACGACCACGAACAGGATGAGGAGGGGGTCCTAGGAAGAGGCCTACTGTGGGCGCAATGCGGCGCGGCCCTTCGAGGTCGGAACTGGCCGGGAGCCGCTCGCACCCTGCGCCATGAACTCTGCGCGACCTCAATCGGGGGGAATTTCCGATGCTGAAAGTGCAGGGGTACAATGCAATATCATGAGGTGCATCGCATTTGGTGGGCAGTGACAGGCAAGTCATAATGCGCTGCGATAGTGCAAATCATTGTACGCTTAGCGTATCATGACGCAGCAGGAGTGAGTGACACGGATTGGAACAGCATGTCGTAGAGCAGCATTGCATAGCTCGGTATGCAAGATCATGGCGGAAGGCACTTTGCGCAGGTTTTTCGTGCCACGGGTCATCTGTTAGGGGGCAGGAACCACCCCTGACCAGACCAGGAATTGCTGGGGTTCCCCTGTGTTGCTCAGGGATTGCTGGGGTTGGGGGTGGGGGGGAACCCGGGGTGCGTTGCCGCCGCCATGACCCGGGGGCCGCCCCGCGCCTTCTCCGAGCGAGTGCAGAATGAGGGAGTCTGGCGATGCCCGGTGAGAGGGCGGCAAAGTAAAGCGAACAGCGAACAGCGAACAGCGAAAGAGCAGCGAGCAGTTGTCATCGCCCGGGAGGGCCGCCCGAGGGCGGGCCAGAAAGGGGCGAAGGGCAGGGGGAAAGGTGACCCTGACCAAACCAGGGAGGAGGCAGCAATCTGAGCTTGGTTAGGATTCTGCCTCAAGGGTTGGGCGCCCGATTAGGGTGATCTCGGCGCCGCGCCGACGGGGAAGTGAGGGGGCAGGCCATCTCAGCAGGCGCGGCGGGGCTTCGGAGAAGCCTCAGAAAGCTTGGCAGAAGGCTGGGGGGGCCTTCTGAGCCCTCCGAGAAGGCCCGCCCTCTCTGCCCTCCCCCCCCTGAGCGCTCCGCCGATGAAGAGCAGCCGAACTTGCTGCCGTCCCCTCCTCCTCCGCAGCCCCTGCGGCCGAGGAGTGCCAGCCGAGCCCAGGCGGTGCCCCCCTCAACCGCTCGGCAGTTGGCGCCGAAGGTTGATGGCCTCTCGGGGGAAGAGGTGACCCCCCTCTCCCAGACCTCCGACGTCTTGCGTTTCTCAATGCGGGGCCCCCAGAGGGCCCGACGCTTTCCTTTCCCCAGGGCCGGCTCTGCATCCGGAGTCGTCTTTCGATGGCCCCTGGGCCCGGCCAGGGCCCCCACAGGCCGCAAGCGGCAACAGGGCCTCCGCATGGACTCTCTCGAGACGCTGGAGGTCTGGGCTCTTTCGGCGATGCGGTGTGGCGGCTGCCTCGAGGGCCTCGGGCGCAGGCCGCCCCCCGCGCCCGCCCCCCTGCGCGGCGCGGGCGCGGGCGCCGCAGCCGCGGCGCGCCCTCGGGGGGCCCCGCAGGAGGCACCCGCGCGGGGCCCACCTCGATCCGATCGATCAGATTCGACACCGCTGTTCGCTCGATGCGATTCGATACCGATTTTCGCTCGATCCGACTCGGCCGGGCTCCTGCATAACGCCGTGGTGCGCCCTGGCGCTGCCGATCCGATTCGATTCCGACCCCGTGCCGATGCGGTCCGATCCCACTTGCATCCCGGTTCGATGCTGGCGGATCCTGCCCGTGCGCCAGCACCGCGCCTGGCCAGGGCCTTCCCCGGCCCTTGCTTGGTACATCCGCCCTCCTGTCGGGTGTTGCGTAATGGGGAGGCGATACATGGGGGGGGGAAGCAAGGTGTACCTTTTGCCCTCAAGGGGTGGGGCCCAAAAAGAGCACGAAAGGGCGCATGTTTTTCCTTACCCCCTCCATGGATCGCCCACCAGGAATCAACGCCCGATCCTGGCCGAGGCCAGGGAGGTCCATCCACCAGGTCACCCCCAGGCGCGACGGGCTTCGCGCTTCGCACATCGGCGCGAGGGCGCGAAGTCAGCCGCGCGTCGCGCACCGCGGGGCGCGATGTGCGAAGTTGAGGTGACCCAGATCCAGCTGCCCGTGCCAAATGCGACAGAGAGCTAGCGAAGTACGCTTTGTGGCGGCCCTTCGAGCGCCGCCCAGAAGGCCGTCGCACGTGACGTATGATGTCTCTGGTATCCGCGAGTTGAGGAGGTCTCCCGGGGCCTGTTTGGGCCGTCTTGGGGCTGCCTTTCGGCTGCCATGGAGCAGTCTTTGGAGTCCCTCGGGCCCCTCTTGGGCCGCATCGAGGCTCTCTTGGGCCGTCTTGGGGCCCTCTCTGGCCTTCCTGGGGCTCTCTTGTCCGTCCCGTGGGTCTCTTGGGGCCGTCCGTCGTGGGCATGTTTGGATCGTCCAGTGACCCTCCAAGGCCGTCTTGGGTCCCTCCGGAGGCCCTCTGGGGCCAGCTCGGGGCTCTTTTGGGGACAGTCTGTGCCGTCTTGGGGCCCTCCTGGGGCTCTCTGTAGGCCCTGGAAGAGCGTGGAACATGTTTTTGCCCTTCAGGGGCATCCAAGAGAGCATTTTTGGAGTGCCTTGGGATCTGTCGTAGGCCCCTTGGGACTTCTTGGGCGCTCCTTGAGTAGGGGCTTTTACGCACTGTTGGGCCATGTTGGCAGCCCTGGTGGCGTTCTGGGTCATCTTGAAAGCTTCGGAGTGGCCTTGGAGAGCTTCAGGGGGCGTCGGGCCGCCAAGGAAGCTTTGAGAGAGAGAGAGAGAGAGGACCGGTGCACGTAATGAACCGTGAGGAGACGGGGGTTCCTTTTGAAAGACTCACAGAGACTCTACCGGACACTCTTGGCATTCTACCACGCCTGTGGCGGATACACACCACTCTAGGGCTCAGGACGGCCCTGGCCAGGCATGGTGGTGGTGGTGTCTTGATGCGCTCCGCGCATACGGCTCCCAAAGCGCTCTCTCGACTCCGCTGTCGCCGCCTTCGCCGCCGCCGCCGCCGTCGTCGTCGTCTTCGGGCTGGCCGTGGCTGGCCGCGGGCACTGGCGCGCCCTTTGGGTCCCCTGAGCGCTCTCTCGGCGGCGCGCAGGCTCGGGCGGTGCTGGGGGGGGCACCTCGAGGCGGGGGGCATTCCTCGAAGGGGTCGGAGGCTGCCGAGTGGGCTTCCCAGGAGGTGGGGGTGTCGGGGCAGGGGCAGTGCAGGCGGTGGGGCCACCTCGCGGCCACCTCCGCCCCCCGCCGCCAGAGGCAGCGCCGCCCCAGCCGCCAGCGCCGAGTGCGCCGCTGCAGGACGACGGCCCCGCGGACGCGGACGGGGTGCTGAGGCCCTGGGCCGTCCAGCGGGATGCCGCCGCCGCCATTCGACGCCAATGGCGGCGGTGGCGGTAGAGGTGTCGACAGCGGTGGCGGTGGTGAGGCCCCAGAGCCGTCCTGTGGGTCGTCGTTCTGGCGGTGGCGGTGCTGAGGCCCAGGGCCGTCATGCGAGTCGTCGCCGCTGCCGACGTCGCCGACGGCGGCAGCGGCAGTGGCGGTGCTGAGGCCAGGGGCCATCCTGCGGGTCGTCGAGTTCCCCGCGAACCAGAGCCCGAGCCCGAAGGATCCAGAGCCCTGCTCGTAGGCACAGAAGCTGGGTCTGGCACCAACAAGGGCGGCCGCCTCTGCCCTGGCGATGATGGCGTGATGGCGCTCTTCGCGCCTCCTGATGAGATGGCCCGAGTTTTACCAGCTGCACAAAAAACGATGGTCGTCTTCCCACGGTGGATGCGAGCTCTGACGTCCTGGGTCACCCGCATGGACGCCAAGATCTTCGCGCCTCGCGCTCCGCTGTCCCGGGCCGCGGCCTGGCCGTTTTCTAGGGCGGGTGGCGCGACAGTGCGAAGGTGATCGTGCTTCGCGCTTCGCGCGGCGCGAAGCGCTAAGTTGGGTGACTCAGACACCCAGTGATGATGCCAACCTCTGGGCCTCGGACCTGCGCCGCGGACCTCGTGGGGCGGCTCGTCCGCGTGGAGGCCAAGCGCCTGAGAGAGAGCTTGGGCGCAGAGCTGGAGGAGGATCGGGGGGAGGCTAAAGTCAGACACTCGAGGCGCTGTGATAAAGTCTCGACGTGTTTGGTTCTCGCCATGTTTCGCTGGTTGCCATTTTGCCTTCTCCTCCTTGTCCTGATCACGAAGACAGCTGACATATAGTGGCCTTCGACCTATCCCGCCACCGTGCCTGGGTTGTAGGTCGGAGGCCTCCTTGGATGCTTGTGAGGGTTTCTTGGGATGCCTTTTGGAGGCGGTTTTGGGAGTGTCTTGGGGCGTCTTAGGGGGCCTCTTGGGGCCTGATTTGGATCTATCAGGGCCTCTTGGGCGCACCTCGGGAGTTTGTGGGGGGATCTTGGGGCGATCTTGGGGCAGAGGGCTCAAACGTTTTTCTTGAAAATCCGTGTTGCGAAGCCAGGTGTTCTCATATGTTTTCTTGGATATTCGGTTTCGAAATCCTTCCGAAACCAAACTTTTATGAAGGATTTCTGCTTGCGCGCGCGACGACGCGCGCGTGTGCACTTCGTCACAGTTGTACGCAATGGGTTATTGAAAGCTGATGTTTTTTGTTGAACGAGTGTGCGCACACAATATTTTTTCAGTGGATGGCGGGGGGACGATACTGGCTCGGTTGGGATGGTCTGCATTCATATTTCGAATGGACGATGGGGCATAATCACATGTACATTGCAATGCGGAAAGGGGGGTCGACAAATCCTGGGGTGGGTGGGTGAGAGAGCTTATTCCCTACCCAGGCTCTGTCTAGAAGGGTTCTTACTCTGTGTGCTTCAAGGACCGGGCAGTGTTCCTCGCCCCGGGCGGTTCCCCCAGGATCCGCCCCGCGGTTCCCCCAGTTGCGCCCCCTTACCTTAGCTTTGCGTATCTCATCTTAGCTTAGCTGAGCTTAGCTTCCTCTTAGCTTCGCTTAGCTGTATCTTAGCTCAGCTAAGCTTAGCTTAGCTTAGCTTAGCTTAACTTAGCTTAACATACCATAGCATAGCCCAGCATAGCCCAGCATAGCGCAGCATAGCAAAGCATAGCATAGCATAGCATAGCACAGCATAGCGCAGCATAGCACAGCATATCATATCATAACGCAGCATAGCATAGCATACCATAGCCTAGCATAACATAGCGCAGCCTAGCGTAGCATAGCATAGCGCAGCATAACGCAGCATATCATAGCATAGTGCAGCATAGCATAACATAGCATAGCATAACCTAGCATAGCATAGCAGCAAAGCAAAGGCAAAGCAACAGCAGGAACAGCAAATCAAAGCACAAGCAACGCAAAGCAAAGCAAAGCAAAGCAAAAGCAAAAGCAAAAGCAAAGGAAACGCAAAGCCAAAACAATGTGCGACAGATGCCGAGCTAGCCTCGATGGCCGGACCGGAGCCCCCGCAAGCAGTGCCTTCCGTAGCCATTTCGGCTCAAGCCCGGAGGCCCTGCCACACAGCCGTTCGCGCTCATGTCCCGAGGTTGGCGGATTGAGGCTTTCAGCGGTGCTGCGCAGCCCGCCTCGGCACCAGGTGGTGCTGCACAGCCCACCCCGCCTGTTGTGGCCATCGATGTGGGCGACGTCGCGTCCAAGCGGAACGACGATCAGCGGGTTGAAGGCAGCGAGATGTACACGGCTGTCGAGGAAGGCTTCTGGGCGTTCGTTGTGCTCTTTGCGGCTGAGTGCGGCCTTCAGGACATGAATTTCATCAGTCGCACGACGCGGGGCACGTGGCACTCCGCCATGACAACGATCTCGAGTGCTTGTGGGTGTCTTGAACGACCGAGCTGGCAACTCGGGCCTGTCGAGCAGGCGGAGCAAGGGCCGCGTCGTCCAGTACATGCGCCTCCGCCCTGTGCACAGCAGGTGGTGGCGCGACGAAGACGACGACTGGCTGGAGAGCTGCGCTAGCGGCCGAGGTCCCTACCGAGCGTCCCGCGACGAGCGCGTAGAGGCCAAGGCCACTACGAAAGCAAACGAAAAACCAAGCGAAAGCAAATCAAAAGCAAAAAGGCTTAGCTTAGCTTTAGCTTTAGCTTTAGCTTTAGCTTTAGCTTTAGCTTTAGCTTTAGCTTTAGCTTTCGCTTTAGCTTTAGCTTTAGCTTTAGCTTTAGCTTTAGCTTTAGCTTTAGCTTTAGCTTTAGCTTTAGCTTTAGCTTTAGCTTAGCTTAGCTTAGCTTAACTAAGCTACACTAACAGCAGCAGCGAAGCAAAGCGCTAGCGACGCGAAGCAAAGCAAAGCAAGAGCATGAGCAAAGCAAGGGAAGGACAAAGCAAACACAATGTGCGACAGTACGATCAGAGAGCCCGCCCGGTGAGCGAATGCAGCAATATGCGTGTGTGCGAACGCGAATCAAAAGCAAAACCAAGCCAGAGCCAAGACAAGCAAAAGCAAAGGCAACTACGACTATGAGGGGAAGGAGGAGGACGGCGTTTACAGTTACTACTAATGCTGCTTTCCTAGGGGCTCCAACTCCTAGGTCGGGTCGCACTGGGGTAATTGTTTTTGTTAGAAAGGAGAATTGGTTTTCACCCATGAGATGGCGCATCCCATGCTCTTGCAAACATCGCGCCACCCGCCCGCAACGTGGTTTGCAAAACCCATGCGGTGGCGATGGTTATGCGGGCTTGGCGTTGGCTGGTTCATCTCCGCGGCCGCGCCAACCTTAGCACGTGCGGGCAGCGGCCGGCTAGTTTGGCGCCGCCGACGCGGCCGCGGCGGCGCTGGCCGCTGGGCGCGTCCCAGTGGGCACTTTACTGCGAGTCGGCGACTTGGGCGGGCGCGATCATGGCAACGCCGACTACGGTAGACGCGATGCTGATAGTGGCGATGCTGGTGGCGATGTTTGCATCGACGAAGGCCGTGCCAGCGCGGGCGCCGATGCTGGTCGCGCCGACGACGACGGCGCCCTCGCGTCGATGATGAGGGTCTTGGAACAAGTTCGACATGCGTGCGCGGCCGACGGGTGAGAGTGACCCGCGTGTTTTTATTTGACACGGATCGCGCCCCCCCCCCCCCCCTCCCAGCACGCGCGCAAAGGGCGTGCGAATGATGTCGGCAAGCGGCGCCAGAGGCCCGCCTGGCAGAATGCCATGGCAATGTTGAACAAACTTGTTGTTTTGTTTGCTTAAGAAATCGCGAGAGTACGCGCGCACTTTATTGTTTATGTCAGTTTTCTGAACGTTCGGCTTGGAATCGTTGCGACTCCGAAGGTGTTTGAAGGATTTCGGCCCGCGCGCGCGACGACGCGCGCGCGTGCGCTTCGCCCCGCTTTTGGCAAGGGATTCTCGCGACGGCACGCGCGCAGGGGCGTTCGGGCGATTTCGACATGCGCGCGGACGAAGCCCGTTTGGTAGTAATTTTTGAAGAATTTGATAAACCCATGGTTCCCGGAAGAATTTGCAAGGGCGCGCGCGTTTCTTTGAACGTCCGTGTTGCGAAACCGTTTTGTGTGCGTATAGAACATTGGTGGGTATTCGTTTTTGGTTTGATATCCTTGCGACACCGAAGGTTTTCGAAGGATTCCGGCATGCGCGACGGCGCGCGCGTGTGAAAATCGCTTTGTTTTTGGCAAGGGGTTCTTGATTCGTTTTTTTTTTTTTTTTTTTTTGTTGTAGGAGAGGGTGTTGGGGGGCGTCGATGCCGTCTGGGCTGGGGTGGTATGAATTCAAATTTTGGGTGGGCGATGGGGCAGAACCACATGTGATTTGCAATGCGAAGAAGTGGGTCGTTAAAACCGGGGTGGTGGTGGCTGGTTTTAATTCGGTTTAAGCAGAGCGAATTTGTTTTCACAGGCGAGTTGACGCATCCCATGCTCTTCCAAACATCGCATCCACCCACCGGCAACTTAGTTTGCAAAGCCCATGCGGTGGCGATGGCTGTGCATGCTTCGCGTTGGCTGGTTCATCTGGCCGCGCCAACCCTAGCGCGCGCAGCGGCCAGCTAGTCTAGCACCGCCGACGCGGCCGCGGTGGCGCTGACCGCTGGGCGCATCCCCATGGGAATTTCATTGCGAGTCGGCGACTTGGGCGGGCCCGATCATGGCAACGCCGACTACGGTAAACGCGATGATGATAGTAGCGATGATGGTGACGAAGTTCGCGCCGACGAAGGAGCGGTCAGTGCGGGCGCCGATGCTGATCGCGCCGACGACGATGACGGCGCCCTCGCGTCGGCGCTGAAGGTTTTGGGAAGAGTTGGACACGCGCGCGCGGGCGACGCGCGAGAGTGGTCCGCGTGGTTTTATTTGACGCGGATCGTGCCCCCCCCAGCACGCGCGCTAAGGCGTGCGAGTGATGTCGGCAAGTGGCGCCAGAGGCCCGTTTGGTAGAATTCCACGACAATGTTGAAACACCTTCGGGTTTCTCAAGAATTTGCATGTGCGCGTGCAAGTGCATACTATGCCCACTATAAAAATATGTACACACATATATTTATACATGTATATATATATATATGTGTATGTGTTTACATATGTCTGTATATATGTATATATATATATATATATATATATATATATATCATGCAATACCTTAGAACGTAAGTACTTTTGGGACGTTCGGTTTTGCAGGCTTTTGAAGGATTTCGGCATGCGCGCGCGACGGCGCGCGCGTGTGCGCTTCGTCCTTTCAGAGGATTCCTGCGACGGCGCTCGCGCAAGGGCATTCGAATGATTTCGACGTGCGCGCGCGAAGCCGGTTTGGCATTATTTTATGAAGATGCTGAAACACCAATGGAGTCCTTCAGAACTAGCCAGGGCGAGCGCGTTTTTTTTTTTTTTTTTTTTTTTTTTTTTTTTTTTTTTTTTTTTTTTTTTTTTTTTTTTTTTTTTTTTTTTTTTTTTTTTTTTTTTTTTTTTTTTTTTTTTTTTTTTAAAAAAAAAAAAAAAAAAATTCTCCCCCCCTCTCTCGGGGGGGGGGGGGGGCGGGGGGCTGTTTTCCTCTTTCCCTTCCTTTTCTTGTTGCGCATATTGGTAGTAACAACACTACTAGTATTAACACACACATTTATATATATATATATGTATAT